TGAAATGCTCTGTATATGGGAGCAGCAGGCAGGGCGGGAGAGGTCTGCTGTGCCATGTGGGTCAGCTTCCCCATTAGGGAATTGAACTGCTATAGTGGCTGAGGATAGCTTCAGAGTGCTGCGCTTTAATCCATTGCACCACCAGGGAGGGGCCATCTCTGAAACAGTTTTGTCTATATTTTTTTCTTTTCTAGTATATCTTTTAAATGTGTCATGTGTAAATCATTTGCCTTGATCACAGTTACTTGTCACACGGAGGTGTATCCTTATGCTGGAACATTGTCTCACCATTTTGCAGAGAAGCAAAGACCTGCACACAGAATGTTCGCATTTAATAGTGTGATGCCTTTAGCTCATCATCTCATTTTTAGAACAATAGTTGGTAATGTAGTTAATATATAACTCAAGATGATAAATTCAGTTTTACTTTTCAATAAATGATAGGCAATTTTTTGGACAGTTTATTCCTAGAAAATAGGTTATGTTATCTCATGGGAACAATGGAAGAGCACTCATGGCACTGCTGATTCGTAAGGCTGAATCACAGCAAACATTCACTTCACATGTACAGCTCACAAATACACACACACAGGCACACACATCCTATTTTTATACATAGTATGGTCACTGAGTGCTATAATTGCTTTTTGTTTTCACTTGCAGAAACAGAACTGCTCCAGTATCGGGGCAAAACTAACATGTGTCAAAGTCACACCACAAGTGGTGACTGTTTTCATTGGCAATTTAAAAGATTTCCAAGGTGATTTTGACTTCAGTGAAAATTTTGCCTTATACCTTGGTCATAGATCCTTACCCTGCCTGAGGTATGAGTCCATTGAAATGGAGATTTTTCAAACAAGTCATCTCATTTTTTAAAAGATTTTTTTATTTGTGCATACAGAAATGGGGCACAGGTCAGAGGTGAGAGGATTCACCAACCAGAGTGGGGAGCAGAACAGGCAGACAGACAAACTACACTGCTGAGGGGAGCAGCGGGCGAGACAAGAAAGGTCTGCCATGCCCCGTGGGTCACCTCTGGGGCAGGGATTGAAGCAGCCGCAACATGGCTTAGCTTCACAGTGCAGCGCTCCCACCCACTGTGCTACCAGGGAGAGCCCTAAGTCATCTTATTTTTAGGAAGATAGTTAGTAATGTAGTTAATACGTAATTCAAGATGATAAATTCAGTTTTACTTTTGAATAAATGATAGGCAATTTTTGGGGGAACAGTTTATTACTAGAAAATAGGTTATGTTTTCTCATGGAAACAATAGAAGAGGGACATAGAATTTCTGGTCATGGACATTGAATCAAGTAAGTCAAAAGTACATTAGAGGAAGTTACAAATGTCTGTGATCACATAAAATAAGATGTGAAGGACATCATGAATTTCTAGAGCTGTGAGGGACTTTAAGGATTGATTACTTCTAGACATTATTTTTAGAAGTGAGTATAGCGCATCCCCTAGAGACAGGAGGATTCACCAGAATAACTAGTGGAAGATGCAGGACGAGAGCCTAGATGGCCCACTTTTTAGTCCATCTTCTTTCCACTGTACGGCACTTAAAAGTCCTGAGATGAAAATATGTACAAAATGAAGAATAATGTAAAAAATGTATATAATTTTTTAATTCCAAAAAAATTAGAAATAGTAAATTTTTTACTTTACAGTAAAAAGTACAAAGCTTTAAAAAAAAGTCCTAAAAAGACAAACCAGCAAACCTGCTCCTCTATCAAATAGTTCACTCCATCTGCAACAAAATGTTTATCAAGGATATATATGTGTATAACATATATGATCCATTTATAATGGTGTTGTGTCTACTAATTCAAGGGTCCTTTGAATACTTGCTCAAAAGAGCATGGTCTGTCAACTACTCTGCCCAGTATCTCACCATTATCTACTTTGCCCTTGCCATAGAAACAGTGATTCCCAGAAATGTGTCCTTGTTTATGCATTATTTGCGAAGTTAAAAGTATGGTCTGTTTGCAAATTTGCATTCAGTATATTACTTTTCCTCAGTATATGGGCTTATAAATAATTTCCATGATTCAGTTTAGGGAAGATTAGTTAAGAAAATAACATAAACTATCTTACAAGTCACTCATTTTTCTGAAAAGTCATATTTTAAATGTTTAACTTTATTTTTTAGAGAAATTATATTTTGTAATGATGAACCAAGGTCAACAGCTCAAATTGAAACAATAGCCACTTGCAACAATTTGAAGAGTAAAACACAGACTATAACTTCACCTATTCCATATTTTACCATTGTCAAATACTATACTAATGTCAGCACCTTGTATGTAGTATGTATTTCCTGAGTTTTAAAAATAATGACTTCTTAGAGTAAACTTTTCTTGTGTAGGTCTATAATAAATATGAAGACTGCAACTATGTGTAGTAATAACAGGAAGATGTGATTATGCAACATTAGACGAAATGAAAACTAAGTTTCTCAGTCAAGTTGTTACTAAGAGGATGAGAAAATCCTTAACTGATTATTGAGATGATAAGTGAGTGAGATCATTAGTACAGAGAAATTTAGGAAAGATTTGAACTTTTTCACTGCTTTCTTGGTACTTTGGTTTGTCTCCTCAGTGCACAGTGACAACCCATTTCTCATTTTATCTGTATTGATTTCATCTTCAGAAAGTGGAAGGAAAAAATTTTTCCAACCTCTCAAATTTCCCTTCTGCATCAGTGTTAGGTTTCTTTCTGTGTTATTTAAAATCATTCCATATGGCAATTCCTTTCATTTATATTGAAAAAAAAATCAACAATGTTGCAAGAAGCCTCTTCTTTCCCCTAAATTAGATCCGAATACATAAAGATAAGATGATATTGTTTGTCTATGAGAACTGAGACAATAATTTGGAAAAATAAGCTAAAAAATTTGAAATATTGTAATTCTTGATGACTAAGAGGTACAATTGGCTCTTCAGTTTATAAATAATGCAGTGATTCTAGAACCAAGAGATGGCACAAAGTTTATGATAACTGCCCAGCTCACTGTTGTTACCAACAAAGGCTCTTGTTATAAACTTCTGTATTCTAAAATTATGCTGTAAGGGCAATTTAAATATAGTTTTCATATGAATATGTAATACTAAGCATAATAAACACTTCAGAATATTTATTGAACAGTTACCATGCATAAAGCTTAGAAAAATTTTGTAGGCCTTATGTGAATTTTATTCTAAGCATGTAAATATATATTATGTTTTCAAGTGTATTAAATGCAGACATTTTTTAATGGTCTTACTTGTTTGAAATAATAAGTTCTGTATAAAATATCAATGAGAGATCTCTGGATGCTTTAAAAAATGCATATCCAGTATAACAAAAAAAATTATGTGTTTTAATATGAAAATATAATCAAAGTAATATTTAAGGGGTCAATATACTATATACTCCTTATTCATTATGAATTATTTAATCCTCTAAAGAGTTGGAACTTTCTTTATTCCAGTTTTTCAGAAGAAACAGTCAAGGCTTACAGTTGAGTGACTCAGGATATACGACAGGGGTAGGAAATAAAAAATTTTAAAACTCAATTCTGACTTGCCTATATTATAGCTGGGACTCTAAATCCTTCTCACTTTTCCTGCCATTACAAAGCATACAGAATTTACATGTGTTATGTTTACATGCAAATTTGTAAGCTAAAAAATTACAAAAAGAAAAATCATAAAAGAAAATCTCAGACTTTGTGTCTAAGAAGTATTTTGCCTGTGCCCTGCTATTCATGTGAGTTTCAGGATAAATAAGACAGTAAAACCCAATCTTTTCTTCCTTTCAGCTTTGTAATAAAATAGTATTCCTGGTGAGTTTTGTTGGGAACCGTGGCACGTTCACCCGAGGGTACCGAGCGGTCATCCTGGATGTGGCCTTTCTCTACCACGTAGCCTATGTCCTGGTTTGCATGCTGGGCCTCTTTGTCCACGAATTCTTCTATAGCTTCCTGGTGAGTATATCTCTATGTGGACCAGTGCTGCTGACAAAAAATATACAATGCTTCCTCTTCTTATGCCTCTTCCTTTGATTTTTTTTTTTTTTTAAGCAGGAGCTGACATTTAGGACAAATTGTTATTTTTAGAATTTCCTTAGAAAAGCATGAATTATTATTATTTTTAGTCTTTTTTTTTTTTTTTCTGAGAAACCACATAGATGGAATT